AGCGGAGCAACCCTTGTGCGCGGACTCGGTAGCCTTCAGCGAGCGGGGCCGTGTAAGCGGCATCGCCGCCGCCTCCGGGGGATGGCATGGTGCGGCGGATCCTCGGGGCCGTGCTCGTTCTCTGGCACAGCTGAGTGGAGCGCCCCACGTTGTATAACCTATAGATATACCTTTCTGCATTCCATACGCGGTAGGAAGGAAGCCTCGCTAGAGGCGCCTAATGGTAGCGCTGCCGAGGTATGCGCCAGGACATCGATGTGAAGAGGGTAAATGAATGTCTGGGATCCTTGGCCTCTTTTGACCCTTCCACAAGGAAGGGGCTGATGTAACAACTACTTTGGAGGAGGGATGCCCCTTCTTTGCTAGGCTGTTGGAGCTGTCTTACGTATCTTCAAGTGCGTGGTTCAAGTACAGCAGGTGTGAGCATCATCTTGCAATCAGCGTTCACTCCTGATGCATTTTTAGTAGAAAGATGTGGAAAAAACCTTCCATTTCCCATCTTTGGGACTGCAGAGATATTGAATCTGCTGGAGTAGTAAAGGTTAAATATAAAGAAGTAATAAATATGTCTTTTCCATGCCAGCAAGCATAGTTATTAAAAAGCACAGAAAATGAAAGAATATAGGCTTTTAACAAACAAACAAAACCGAAAAAACCTGCACAATTTTTAAAGGAATTGTAACCAAGGCCCACAGTCCACAAAGGTGTATTTGTAAATTAAAACATTTAGGAAGTAGCAGCTAAGTGGCTTTAATTATCTTTGTTTTCAACTCTGGAATGTCTAAAAAGAGGATCATTGATGTCTCACCTTGAGAAAATGGGTCATTAGTGACTTCTCTTTTTTCTTTCAATTACATTACAGCTTTGAAAAATTCATGTGTTGTGCAAGGACCTAGACTTAACATCAAACTTACTTTGTGGTTAGGCAGTTTTAATAGAAAGATGGTAATTATTCATAGAAATATTGCCCTTGAAAAGCCACCCGGATGTGATTCCAGAGAAAAACCACATCCCAGAACTTCCCAAAGAGACTGATGACTTTGAGTGTCCAATTTAATGTGTTTCAACATCGGGAATGAAAGTGAGTAGGACTTCGTGTGACTGCAGTCAGTGTGACACCAAGTAGGTTTTGGTTTCATTTCAGACTTTGCCCAGGTTTTTGTGTAGTGTGTTGGGGTTTTGGGTTGGTTGTTTTTGTTTGGTTTTGTTTTTTTTTTTAAAACCAAGCAGTAAGCTGTATTCCTTTTGGAAGAGTTGGCTCTGGTTTCTGCTTGCAAGGTATACTCCACCCTCTCGCTCCATGCCAATGTCTTTTAAAAGACAAATTTTACATTGTTTTCTTGATGACTGTGTTTACTTAATACTTTACTGTGCGGAGAGGAGGGCTAATGTCAGTTGAGATATTTCTTTGCATCTCCCAGCAAGATGAGCAGAGTCCTTGAACAGTTTATAACAGGAGAGGCAACAAAGGGCGACTTCCTTTGGTGCCCTGTTCTTTCTCAAGAGTTGCAAATACTACCTTTGACATTGCTCTTTAAAAGGAGGAGGTGATGGTTTCCTGGCATTAAGAGTCAGTAAGCATTTAGTTCCTCATTCTTGCATCGGGCTTATTCCTAGATCAAGTTACCACTCTGGCGCATTGCTCTTAAATCCTGGCTTTTTAAGAGAATTTCAGCTCTCTGAGGGCTTGTCACAAACTGCATGTGGACTTGCCACTGGGCTGAGTGAGCTGGGGTGTCTCTTCTCACTGCTTGGAAAACCTGCCACAATTACGCTCTAATTCTATGGGACAGTGTTAGGGAAGGGTTAGTGATGGTATGTATGTTCTTCCTTGTCTTGTCTAGCTGAGGATTTTTTAGTTTGCTTGTTCTTTTGCTTTTTTTGCTGTGTTTGTTCTGAGGTCTTCTGCAGAAGTGCAAGCAAAGCAGCAGTTTTTTAGTAGGTTTCTTTTTATTAGTATCCTTTAATGTTAATATCTTTCAGCATTTAGTATTGAGTATCAAGTGCTGTTGAGGCAGGGATGCAAGGCACTTTGGACAACCCTATTAAGTGCAGTTCACAGTGCAAGCAGTTCATGTCCTATAATCTTCTTTTGGACATTTTAAAGACAATAAATGACATTCCTTTGGAGTGTCTTAATAATGTGCTTTCAAGCACTTGGAAGCATTGTGCTTCCCAGAACACTGCATTTGGAAGCAAATGTAAGCATTTTAGGAAAAGTATAAAAGTCAGCGTTAACTCAGATTCAGGCTTTTTCCATTGTTCATCAATCCTTAAAGATCATCTGGAGCTTTTAGGTCAGAGCGTAGGCATAGGTTTTATACCATTAAACTTGTTAAATTTGCCACCGTTTTTCCTTGCATGTAAGATGACCATATGCAATTTCTACAATTTCTGCTTCTAGTGAATGAATCGTGGCAAGGATTTACTGCTGGAAGGTGTTTCACTTTTTTTTTCCCCTTTTAATTGGTTTACTGAATTTTCCTCTGCTTTGCTCTGGTTTCAAAGATGGATTGTGAGTAGTAAGGTTAATTTGGTTGTTTTTCCCCTTTCATTCTGCAGTACGTGGTAGTATTGCTTTAAGAAACTATGCAAAAAGCAGAGCTCTGATTCACTGGAACAGCAGTTGTCATGATTTGCATTGGTAACATGGTTATTTAGTCTTGATATGCCAATTTTCCAATAGTGACCCTTGCTGGAAAAGGAAATTAGATGACTCACATCCAGAATTCAACTAATTGTGAAGTATTTCAGTGTTTAAGGAGGTGGAGCAATTCAGAACATCTGTATCAGAGTTACAGAAGAAAATAATGTAGTTGGGGCAGCTGATTTCAGTCTTTCCAAATGGAAACAAAACTTCAAATTGTCTTTGTACACAGTTAATTGGACTCTGCTTCTGAATTGATTTCTGCCTTGAAGTTACAGCAGGTTGTGTAACAAATACAGTAATGCTTGAGAAAAGGCAGTTCATCCTGATGTGATGAGAAGAGGGAGGCAGAATGACAGTCTCCCTGGGAAGCCTCAGCTGGCAGAGACAGGACAGCCTTGTTAGACTGGGGATACGCTCATTTGGGTTTTGTCATGGGCTGATCAATGTGTTGCCTTGTGACTTCGTTCTCCTTTTGTGAAATGGAGAAAATCCATGTCATTCTGCCTGCCTTTGATTGAAATGCAGCATCTGCAATAGTCTGCTATGTGCGTAAGTTGGCAAAACCAGTAAATTTCTAACTGTGGAAGATGGGACTACCGTAATTTGCTGTCTCTCAGTTTAGATGTTTTTAAGCATATGCTTTCTCCATAGACAAGGTAAAAAGTACTGTGAAGTTGAACTATATCCCATTTCTCCTTCTTCTCCCCTGAAGTCAGGGACTTCAGTTCACAGGTGTATTTAGATGCTCCAGCATCTGTAATAGGTTGGCAATGATAAGAAAATAAATTAAGAAGATTATTCATTGGAAAAAAACTTCTAGAAATGTAAGCAGTCTCTAGTTAATGAACAGAGGATTTCTTTTCCAGTACTGGTCCTCAGCATTTTCTGTAAAAAATGAGTTAAACTGCATGCAGAGACCTTTCTGTAAGGCTTGCATTCAGACACAGGCTAATCTCATCAAGGAATGTAATTGTCTAGAAACAATTGAGATTTGGATTTGAAGCTATTTAAAAAATTGTTCTATGCTTTTTACTAGCCTGAAAAGTAAATACAAGCTTACACAATTTGTAATTGTAACTTGCATTATAGAGTGTTTGATTTTGTGTTTGCTGTATTCTCAATGAAGAAGCTACTTAAAGCTGACAAAGCAGTTGTGAGGTGCCTGTAATGGCTTCTCAGCTGCCTGCTTCAGGCAGTGGGCTTAATGCGTGTGCAGGTTCATTTACTCTGAAACCAAGATGGAAGGAGAGATTGAAAAATGCTGTCCTGGCTTGAGAGGCAGATGCGCATGGTTGGGTTAGCATGCTTTTCTAACTACAGAAGTTTCACAGCAAAAAACAAGACCACCTGGCCTAAACATGCAGCGACACAGCAAGATTAATCACTTGGATTATGTTCAGAAGTTCATTTTTCTGTGGGTGTGTACTTCATTGACTGTATGTACTTACTAGGGTAGAGTGTTCCTTCCTCTGTGGGCTTTGCTGTGCCTCTACACAGTGTAACTCTGAAAACAGTAAATTTTTAACATACAGGTTGACTCTGGAGAGAGCTTGTCAAAGCAGCCGCAGGGCGGGTAACCCTCAGAGAAGGGTCCTGTAGCCTGAGAAAGAATCCTTCCTTGAAAACATGGTTAAAAGACCGTGGTTGTTATTTAGTAGGATCTATGAAAATTTGAGCATGTGGGTTTCAAAGCTAGCTCCAATTCTGCCATTTCATATACTTCTATAAAATAGCCATGGCCTGAGGTGTAGCCAGATGTATTTGTGATAGATTGTGTTGTAGATGTATTATGGGAGGAGGAGAATAGATGTATTGGTATGGGAGGAGGAGCATGTCCTTAAATTGCCTAGCCTTTTAAAACTGCAGTTGTAGTGTCTTCTGTGAAATGAACAAATCAGTTTAATTTCAGGAAATTTGCAATTGTGCAAAGATTGGTCTTTTGACAAAGTTATTTTTATTAAAAACATTTTATACCATTCATTTTTAATGTGATAGTCCTCTCCATGTTTGCTAGCATGATCTCTGGCTCTCAATTCCACTGAGAGGTAAACTTAAAAACCTCTGTTTTTTAAGTTATGGAAGGAGCCAGTCATCAAAGTCACTTTTGTGACTTTTTTATGAAGGTCTTGTTAATGATGAATACCATTTAAAAGGAGAAGTAATGGTCAACCAGATGTGACCTCTATTGCAAAGGTCCGTTCTTACTTGTGCAGTGGTAGATTTTCCTTGATGATCCTCATTGTGCTGGATGAGTAATACTTCTCCCAAAGAGAGGGAGAGTGAGGCAGCATGTCAGTTCATGGTAGTATAGGATAATTAATTTACCTAATTTAAACTTTGCTCCTGCCTGAACACAGTGTTTCTGACTTATATATATGTGATCACCCACATGAATAATGTGGGTAGAGAAAAAGGTGTGTTTCATGTAAGAGCTGGGTTGTATGTTAGGCAAAGCTGGTAGGTGTGACGTAGTCTGAACTTTCTTCAGTTGCAGTTTCGGTGTGTTTGGCAAGTCATACACCAGGTTGCAATTTGCCAGAAAAAATCCTTTTTAAAAATTTTATTTAAAATTTCAACTCTTTAGCCAAGTTAGTTGCTAATTAGTTGCTTAAATCTGCTTTCTAGAATTAGTATGGTATTGGCAGTAGCAAATTCACGGTATTGCAGTTGTTGTT